CCAGTGATTACAGTCACTTACAGAGCCCATCACTCAAGCTTGTCAGTTTCCAAATTATTGTCTCCATCTTTGAGAACATGAATTACTTCCAAATCTATTCAGCTCTGCTTCCATTTACATAAATTAATAAACAGACCTGTTATTCTGCCCACTGAGCAACTGGCTTTCTGTTGGAAACAGAGCAGTCTTCTGCCCACTTACCACACACTGAAATTTCTGATCTTTTCCATGTTGTTTCTTATTAACTCCTTGTGGCAGAAAACCAGGGAACTTGGTATAGAAGTGGGAGCTGTAAGAGGGAGAGGGAGAATTATGGCAGCTGAGCAATCCAAGTGCCTCTGTGAAGAGAGAAAGCAGAGCGGCAGCCAGATGGATACATTTCACTCCTCAGGGAGAAGGTGTGGCTCTCTTGGTTCCCAATAAGGGAAAAAATGGAAAATTCCACTACTTGTCATCTATTACTCCTGGAAGGAGAACTGTCTGAGAATCCTATCCAAATTTCATGTAACAGCAAATCTGCTGAGAAGGAGTTTAGCTCAGATGTAAGGTACTAGGGTCACAGTCTAATTCCCACGCACAAGTGGTTCTGTCTAGAATCTGTGGAGGATGCAACACTTATTTTAAGAGAGCTCAGCCAAGGAGACAAAACATTGCTCCATAAATGTATGAAGTGTTTGAAGAAACATTTACCTGCTGCAAAGACAACAATAACAGCACGGAAAGGAAAAGAGGAGGAGATACAGACCTTAATCAAATTTATTGCACCACAATACCACCCTGCCTATTGGCATATGTTAGCAATGAACTAGCATGGTAAAAAGTAACAGCAGGTACCAGACATGACCCACAAGAACAGAAAAATCTGCACAAAAGGCCCAAGTAAACAAGATTAATTTGCACCATTCCGTATGCTAGTAAGACTCCATATCAGCAATGCACTTGAGTAAAACCGTTGTCAAAGGCTTCACCGAATAGGGCAGAAATAAAGACATGAGTCTCATGTATCAAGAGCAGCAGTTTGGATTTGAATTCTGTCTCTGATCCTATCTACCTGATTTTTATTCCAGCCTATCCCTCCACCTGCTCAACCTTAAGACAAGGGCAGTAGCCCCACCTTCAAGGTAAAAGACGCACAGAGCTTTTGTGTGCCCTTGGTACTGAACAGCAGAAGATGAAAAGCTTACAGGGTTAGGTGGAATTACTTTCAGTGCAGACCTGGGCCACATCTCCCAGAAAGCTCCAGCTGCTCTGGGCAGTTCCAGAAAATGGAAACGGCTAGCTTTGCTGGCTGAGTAACACTGCTCATGGTGCTGTGTTGCTGGATTGATAGGAAGCTGCCAGAGGTGCCCTGGAACCCAGCCTGTTACTAACTTGCTGTGTAGGCCGGCACTTGCAGAGAGCTGTCTCCAAAACAAGCTCTGAGTCCAAACCATACTTGAAATGCAGAATTGAAACAGAAAACTCAGTCCTCCCTTCTCCTGCTCAAGTTATACAGAGCAATGGATTTGTTTGCACTTTGACTGGCAGGTTTTGCCGTTCTTGGAGAATGGAGGATAGGGAAAAAGAGACTGCCAAGAGATGACAAGAGACTTCCAAAAGAACTTTGCAGGAAAATCTTCTGCCAAGTCAGCTCTTTGTTTCCAGCCTTGGTGCACAGATCTCTGCATTTGCAAACAAATCGATTTGACTGCTGAGTGAGAATGAGAATTTGTTACCTTGCATCTACAGGACCTGCCCTGCGAGGGAGTATACAAGGAAGATTTCTTAAGCTCAGACTGAGCTGCACTCCAAGTTTCAGTTTCTTGAGCTCTGAGTTGCATTCAAGGCTTCCTCCCTCTGGATTATTTCACCATGGTATGTGAAAGCCAGAAAGACCATTACTTCATGAAGAACCTCTACAAAACCAGCACTGTGGTGTGCATCCCTTCACCATGCTTTTCTGCACATCAGATTCTGCCTTGTTCCCCAAGGACAGCACTGTTACCCAGGCAAAGACCCATGGCTGTGCATAAAGGCAAGCTCTAAGCAAAAGGGTAATTTTAATAAAATATTAAGCAATGTATGGCAGGAAATATCTTCTTTCCCCTCATCCTCTGCCCATGAATGAGCTGGTGCCAAACAGTCATACATGCTCGCTCCACTCCATAACAAAGAGTAGAAACACATTTTGAAGTGATAAACTGAGCAACAAACAGAAAGGAGGAGACTGGAAGCACATACTCCATGATTCATTCATCAAATGCTGGCAGCCAGCAGCACTTCCCAGTTTCCTGCCCATGGTCCGATCCTGTATCTGAGCAAGAGGAATTTGACTGGTGTGGAGGAAGTGCTGGGACCAGAGGGGACCCAGGACCTGCCTCAACAAGGTATCCACTGTCTGAACAAATCAAGTCTCTGCTGTGGGAGGCACCTGCCCAACTGGCAAGTATATCCTGGCATGGTCTCAAGAACCTGCTGTCTCTCGCTACCATCATCACCAGAGAAACATACACAGAGAGTGGAAATGAACAACTGGCCATTGCACAACAGGAATGGTTTGTCCTCATCACATGGAGGATGTATTTCTTTCTGCTCTATTCATAAATATTTGATGAGGAATATAATCCACAACAAAATCACTAGGGATTTGGGATAAGCATGAGGGCTTGTGTTCAGCACATTAGAGCAGTCATTCTATAAATGTAGGGATCTTGCCCACATGCCCTCTAAGTCTGCAACACAAACACCTGAAGATAATGAAAAGTTTCTCCTCCTTATACTACTACTAAATTCAGCGAGGTCAGCTGTGGATTAAATCTCACTTACAGACGACACTATTGACCAACAAGCAGGGAACATGCCAGTTCCTGGGAAGTGAAACTCTGACAGCCATATTACAAGTAAAAATGCATGAGAAACGGTCACGAGCCCTTGGAAACGAGGTCTGTGAAATCTTGTCTCATATTATGTTTCTGCCACACATGTTCTTGTCCTTTTAACTTGGTGCAGCAGGGGCTATTCTGAACAGGTATCAACCACAGAAACACAACTCCTGGAATACATCTGGTGAATCTGCCTGGCTGGGAAAAAGCAGCCTGACTGCAAACAAGTAAGCACTTCCATTTAGTGACTGAAGACATGAAGTAATAACTGTTTGCCTCAATATTACATGTGAGGCAGACTGCTTAGCTTTGGGTTAAGCATTCCTAGTAATTTGAAGCTATATGTGACACCAGCTGAGTTTCTGAGCTCCTCTGCTCAGAATCTGCCTTGCCACCCTGACTCTGTCTGAGCTGCACAGGTGCAAGTAAGGGTAATGGTGGAGTTTAGATTTGAACTGAAGCTGTCAGTGTTAACACTGGTAATAGGTCTGGGATTGCAGCATGGTCATTCACTCCTTGCTTTGTCAGTTCTGAGGCAAGCACGTGACACACTGGTGGTCACCACAAGGGACTGGCTGGCTCCATTGTCACAAAGTCCCGTGCCCCAGGAAAGCTGTCATTCTGCAGCTGTGCCTGAGACAGCATTGCTGGGTCACAGCACTAACACTGTCCCTGACACCCATGCTCTGAGATAACACTCATCTCTCTCAGCAATGCAATGTCAAGCCAGAACTCCTCATCAGCACCACATGTACCTTCTAAACAAGTTTGTGCATACAAACCTTCAATGAAGTCAGAGGCTGTGTGTACACGGTGTTTCGCATTGCCATCCCCTTCTGGATTGTTCAAACTCCCAATGGCTAATTCGATCACCTCTATCAACTCATCTCGCTTATCCTTCCTTACAGGTTTCTCTTCTGGGTGGCGTGTCAGCCCTGTCTCCAGCTGGTACACCTTCTGCAGGGTAAAGCTCTCAAAGGGCACGACCGCATACTCTGTAGACAGCTTAACACCGCTGTGCACTTCTGCTTTGTCTATTTGGGAGCGGAGGAAAGCTAGCAGGTTAGCCTGGGCCTTCTCTGGGTTACTGTGATCGAGCCGTACATCCAAGGGGTCTGGGTACCGGTCCTGCACGTTCTTAAGCTGCTCACTCCTGCCCTGGAGCTCAGCCTTCAGCTGGGCAATTTGTTTCTTCAAGCTGATGATGTAGTTGCGGTGTTGCTCTTCTCGCTCTTGCAGAATGGCTTCGTATCCCTCCTTCACAGTTGGACTGTGCACCCTGGGCAAGGCAAGCTGCTGGTTGTCACTCTTCGGTGTGCAAGCCAGCATATAAACAATAGACACAGAGCAACAGGCCACTACCAGCAGGCCTACAAGTCGGGGGAGAAATAGAATAAATCCTCGTCGGACCATCATCTCTCAAAAAAAATGAGTCTAACACCACACATGCAACAGCTCTTACAGCCATGCAGTGCCACGGAAGCCTCTGGAGTTGGAGTACTCTTACACAGATGCATGTATGTGCAGGAATTGGCTTGTCAGCTCTCTTAAAATGTGTGCTCTGCCTCTACATTGGGCTCTCTCTGGTGTTTACCCAGCAGGACCAAAGCAGACAAGACACCTCCTGATCCTCACGGCAACACCTACGCTGCTGCAATGTGATCAGCTGGTGGCTGATGGAGCGTGAGGACCTGAAAGACAAATGACAAGGACAGTCATTCAGGCACCTTGGAATTTGGTCATTCCATGCAGACCATTGAGAGTGTTCTAAGAATTTACCTCTTTTCTCAACTGCTCTGACAGGCTTCAGAGTTGTGAAGTGGCTTTGCTAAGACTCAAAAGGTCCAAACACCCTTACGCGGGAAATCCTGTTTGCATATGTTTAATTTTAATAACATGACTTCACATATTGCTAATGAGTATGGCCTCAAAGTCTGCCATACTTTAGAAATACCAGGAAGTCATTATCTGTTACTTTCCAGTGAGATGTTAAGGTGCTCAGTTCATCCAAGCAATGATGGTCCTCCAAGCATTCTCAACTCTTGGAGTGCTCAAATCTGAACGCAGTCTCACAGCTACTGCATATGTTTCAGATTCCAGGTATGTATTTGCAAAACACCACGTGGCAAATGTGGTCCCATTTGACCATATGAAGCCTGACCTGGAGCAGAAGTTTGACAACCAAGAAGCTAGAAACTATTATCAAGGCAAATTGCTGCAACTGACATTGTTTGACATATCCTACCAGATGCTCCTACAGAAAACTCAAGAACTAGCAACTGATTTTTTTCAGGAGCATTCAAACCAAGTCTTATTCAAAATCAGGGGGGAAACTTTTTTTCTACCTAGGAGGCTGTCATCATTACACACCATGTTATCATTTTAAGGCCCTCTTCTCTTTCTCATAACGTTCTAAAAAGTCTCGCAACAATGTACAGTACTACTGTGTTTTCCACATATGCTCTCTGCCCAGGAGCTAAGACCACAGAGAAAGTCTAGGGAAAGCTGGCTTAAGTATTTTTTTAAAAATAAGATATGTTAAAATTGTGAACATTATTATTTTTAGCAAGACTTCCTCAAGTACACTGCAAAACAGGAAAGAAAAATTAGATGAACACGAATATTGATCTAGCTGTAAGCTACATTAAAACCATTGTGCTGAAAACACTAGTAGCAGAATTTTCAAAATCCCTCTGTTTTGGCCCAAATCCATGCTGATGCAAAGAACTTCATCATTTACACAGTAGACTTAGGCCAAAGGCTGAGTAACATCCTAGATTACACTGTGGCGCTGCATTGTTAGACTTGAACACAATCAAATTAACCCCTTGACGCTCTCCCCTTATATGCATGCATGACATTAGGATGCTGCTTTTGACAATGGGATTCATAGTCCTTTTAGTCATATATCCTTCCTGGCAGACCCTTAAGTAAAAACGGTTTATCTAAGAATAAGAGTTTCAGAGCTATTTTCAGTTGTTTCTAGTCTTGAGATGAAGTCTTCTGCAGGACTTTTTATCCACTGCTACATGACTTCCCCCTCTGTGTCGCGATTGACTGTTACTCTATATACAGCAGTTACACAGAGATATTTCTGATCTTTGAACTGTTATCAGTATTTTATCAGTCTGCAGAATGTCTAGAAAAAAAAACCCTACACTTTTGGAGTACAAATTGAGGGGGCTAGAGTCAGCTATAAAAATACTGCTGTATTTTTCTCTAAGTACTGCTGAACAGCTATTATAGAGTTTATAAGATTCTCCAGAAAATGTCAGCATTTTCAAAGGAAGAATTGCTGATGTGGAAGAAAATATTTCAGCCTCAGGAAAAAGGACAGGATCAAGTTGGAGTCCTTACCTTTTTGCTGTGATCTTCTCTTTGGAACATGTTGGTCTGCTACAGCTACTTCTCAGTTTGCCACAATCATCTCCTGTTTATCTCCCTTCTTATGCCCTTCCCAGAAAACTCGCATACTATAAAAAGCACCGTCAACCTCAAAACACCTCTTCATTGCTTTCACATTTGCCAGCTGCCTACATCTCCAGTCTGTCTTCTGTGTGGTGAAAGGCTGTAGTGGAGACGCTTCCTATGGATGTACTATAAAAGCTGTCCTCCTGCAATGTAAAGGAGCTTGTCAAAGCAAGGAAAATTAATCTGGGCATTTCTGACTCTACAAGAGATCTGGCTAGAAGACTGCAAGAAGGTAGTGTGCAGTGAGACAGGGTCAGGAAGTGGTAAGATGTAGTACATAAAACACTGCTGTGCTTGTATGCTTCACTTCACACAATTAGTCCATTGACTGAATTGGCAGAAGCTGAACATCACTGAAAGGATTAGTTGTGCTAACACGGTATAAACTGAAATTACATCTCAATGGCTTAGACAAACGCACAATTTCACTTCTATAAGCAGCAACGGACTCAAGTCTTGGGTAAAGAGCCCTTCAAATGTTGACCTTAAAATATATATGTGTATATAATAGCAATCTTCACTAAAATATACAAGGTCTCTCTTCAGCGTACTTGTTCTTTGCTATCTAATTTTCTGGTTTGTAATCTCACCCAGCAAAGGTGCATCTTTCAAAACACTTCAGGACAGTAAATTAACAGAGCTACTTTGTCCTTTGAACCACCATTCCCCTGACAAGCAGTTCAGGTCATGGGGATTTCCAACTTCTTCACTGGGGATTTTACCACCACAACTGAAGGCATTGTGACAACAAGGCTCATTACTTGCCCTCTGTTGCTAGATCTGTCTTAATTAAATTGTACTGGTGACTTCGGTGTCATTGCCTTGCAGTGATTGACATTTAAATACACAGCTGTTACTGTACTACTATCTCATGGGCATGCTTGTGAAAGCAGTCCCAATCCATGTCAGTGCCAAAAAAAGCAGATTTCTTTAAGTCAACATTGAAGGTGGTCACAGCTAAGGCATCTCAGCTGCACAGGCAGTACCAGAGAGCTAGAGATGGTAACTCCTCCTAACAACCGTTCTGTTGATTTCACCAGACCTACACAGTTTCACACCAACTGAGAGAGAGCCTGAGCTGAAGGGAAGACAAACTGAAATGTCAGTTTTTTCCAGGAACTGACAAAAACACCTCTGTATTTCATAGCACATCAGTTGCATCAAGTAGTATCAGTCTATTTGAAAAGAGAACTTTTAATGAATATGCAGTGGTTAGTGTGATAGCCAAGGGAAAGGACATTAATTCTTAAAAAGTCTCGGTCTGCAAAAACATCTTCAACCTGAGCTCAACCTGTTAGCTCAGCCAGAGGTCAGCCCAGCTCACAGAGGTGCTTTTCACTTGTTTTTGAGGAGCCTGGGCCCAGAAATGGTCTAAATACAGAAACAGGTTCTGTCGTCACTCTAAGTACTGTCCAAAAGGCTCTGCACTGTGGAGGGTGCTGCACCAGTCATAAGGAGTAGCAAACTTAAAAAAGTTGATTGGTTTGAAATTTTGGATGGTATGCACCCCCCACTGTTACTCACCGGCATCTGGATTTTTAATGGACTGTAGGGATACAAGAATTTTATCTCTGCACAGAAAAGCCAATGTATTTCAAGCCTGAATTTTTGACTCCTAAAAAACAAACTCAGAATTTGTGCAGAAGAAAGGGCCTCAAAACAATATATCTCTGTATATGTATCTCCTCTCTGAGCTCTACACTCTCCTCTTTTCATGCTGAGGACAGAAATGGATGGGAAAAAACCATAACATTTGCACAGGCAGCAACCTCTCAGCAGATATAGCATGGGCAAAGCCAAATAATTCCATGTTTTTAAGTACTTTCTGCCACAGCTTCCTATTGCAGGAGTAACTCAGGCTGGCAGCTACCATTTTAGCTCACAAAACTTTTTGAAATTCCTTTTTTTTTTTTTAATAGAGGCAGTGAATGGCAGAAGCTGCAATTAGTGCTCGTGTAGGTGTTTGAAGCAGCTCCACTGAACAGCAGCACACATCACAATGAGATTTCACTAGAATAATTTTAATTTCCCAAATGAGCTGTAGGAAGGAAGAAACAGATGCTTCACCCAGATTTTAAGTGCCTCACAAAAAAAAAAAAAAGAGAGAAAGACATTCTGCATCCACTTGGCATTTGTCTGGAACTTTTTAATTTCAAGGTCTGCACATAACACTGCAGACAAATTAATCTGCTTTAAATGTTAGGGACCAGATTTTGCCCCCTTGGTCCCCCAACAGAAATTCAAACCACTTGGTAGAATAGGACATATCACAAGGACTAAAATCTAGTCTCACGCGAGTGCCTAAGTTGCATGTGGAGGGAATGCAAAAAAAAGTTATTTCTCCTTAATGCCAAGTCATGGTTTCTCGACTTCTCAGCCCAGTTCCTCTGCCCAGGAGTGGATTAATCAAAAGGCTGAGTAAAGAGAAGAATTTATCTGATAAACTGACTGGGTGCACCTTCATAGCCTTCCTGTATTGTTCCCTGTTAAAAACTACACTACTGCTCCCTCTTGGGTTGACATTCATTCATCCCCAACAAAGCACTTAAAATCCTAACATCTGGTTTGCAGTCAATAGAGCACTTGAAACAAAAGTAAAGGATTGTTAAGAAACAGTGTCCAGAATCAAAATGCTAAATGCCAATGCTTTAAGACAGTAGACAACTTACTGCAAAAATCTTAATTTCCTAATCTTTGATTCCAGTCATCTTTGTCAGAAAATCTTTCTGCATTGCCGCACATACTGTTGAAATCTCAGTATATAACTCTGCCCACAGAAAGACAATTATATTATTCCCTTTTATAAGTGACAATTACAATCTGATACGTCTTGCATACAGGTTACAACAGCTGTTAGAAGCTGTCTTTTGTCCTAAACAAAACAAGAAGCCCTCAAAAGCACTATTGTTCCTGGAAATGCTATGTTTTCTTCTTGTGAGGGAACT